ATAGCAAGAAGAATAACAAAGTACTGTAAACAGTAAAACTGTTTGCACTACAAACCACTGTGTTCATAATTAAGATAATGCATTAAAATAATGTGGTAAGACACACCAGTTTGCAATATCAAGCAGCAAAATTAGCTGTTTTGTACTGCTAAAAATAACTGGAAGCGGATGAGACCAGAAACCTCGCACATAAAATTTACAAATGGTCGTGCCCACTCTTACGGGAAAAATAAGGTGGATAACATTCAGAAATTGCTACCCTATTTTACATTATAGAGAAGGGACAAAAATTATTTGATGATCATTTTATAATGTTTGACCTAATTAAACCTTTTAATTGTTTATTTATTTTATAATTCTTTTTTTACTTTTATTATTAGATTATATTCTAATAATATATTAGGGCTGTCATTTTAGTGTGTATATTTAATTAGTTACTTAAAAAAATATATATATATATTTTTTAATATTTTAACGCAATTAATGCACCTGCACCGCCGCAGACCAGTATGTCATCTTACATTTCACATAGTTAACTGTTGACAAACATGATGCAGGGCAACAATTCACTGCATGATGTAGCCTATAAAATGCACTTATATGCCCTTAAAATTTAAGATATTGGGGCATGCCCCGTATGAGTTTTTGTCTCATTTTAATATCATAAGTGATACCACACAAGCAGCGAGAGCAATATCACGAGTGCTATTTTGTCCTGAATAGCAGCACGAGTGCAAATGTGATTTTAAACAACAGTTCAGTAAATAAGAAGTTAATATTGTTATTTTTTTAGATTTAGATTTTAGACATTATTGTCTGCTTTTGCTCAATTTTGCAAATGAAAATATTACCTATAAAGCCACAGCAGAACTATTGTGCGTCTCCAAGCGTCACACACAGCGGTGATTCTTTTCTGAATTAATCCACGTTTTAAACGAATCGTGTGAACCAATGATTCAATGGCCCATTCATAAAGAGAGCCATTTACTTCATTCTGAATGAATCAGGCATTTCAACAAATCGAATGAATGAATGACTCAATGAGTACGTTTACATGGACATCAGTAATCTAATTATTTACCTTATTCTGAATAAGACAATATTATGATTAAGGTGTTTACATGAGTTGCTTTTAGTTTTTTCCTTTCATGTTCCCGTTTTACATGTAATACACACACACTGAAATGCAGTGACAGTCTGATTGTACTAAATTACAAGTGGCTACATTTATATCACATTCTACAGTATTTTTAGACTTAAATGGATTTACAAATTAAGTGTATAGTACAATCTGTCTGTCTTTTATTAGGTTAATAACTGAGCATTGTTTTTGCAGTATATTTGTCATTGCATAGCTTTGGTCAGTTGTTCAGCTAACCTAATCTCTTTTTGCAGTTGATTGGAAATGCATTACTGAATATCGCAATGAAGGACTCAAACTTGGTTGTGTGCGGGGAAGCGCTGGATGCCCTCTTCGATGTGTTTGCGGATGGCGATGAAGCAGAGAAAGCTGGAAAAAATATTAACCTGCTTTCATCTCTCAAAGCCCTTCAGCCAGGGTTTAGGGCTAAGGTTTGTTTAAAGCCAATAAGAAATATCACCACAGATACAAACAATCTCATTTATCACATTCACACACCCGAACAGTAATATTAAATCAGACACTAAAATGCCAAATCTCACTCCTCCAAATGCATGAGCTCAAGGTTCAAGTGCAACATTTTTTGTCTTCTCTGACATTGAGATCTGTTGCATAAGCACCATCTCAGCCTCATAATGACTGTCCAGAGAAAGGGGCTTAGGTGGCTAATCTAAAATGTTCCACTTTAAAACTGTAAAGTACTTCTTCAGCTGCTTTTATCCATTCTCAGTCTGACCGTTCACAGCACAGCCATTGCTAGTTCTCTGTATTCTAGTGTGTTCTTAGGCCTTTAGATGGCAGGCTTTTCACAGTTTGGTGTTTTGTTCCCTCGCAGCTGCGAAAAGAAGGCAGAGGAAAATACAGCCCTTGTCAGCTTTGTGTTCTGGACAACATAAGGATCAACCTGAAGAGATTCCTCAGCTACTTGGAGAACCTGCAGAGAAAATGAGATTTCAAAGATCAGTAGTACAACTTCTCTGTCAACATCTCACCTTGTTTTATTTAGCATTTTCTGTCCATATTCCTCTCTGGGGTTCTTTTGGTTTTATTGTAATGTGAGATTGTTTATGTAAGAAAATTAAGATAAAAAATGTTTGTAAAACCAAACGTATGTAAGTGCTTTAATTAAAGCATAACATATCATAATGGTCTTGTGTTGTTAAGTATTAGGAGGATGAATCAACAATAATAATAATAATAATAAGTTTAATTTATATAGCGCCTTTCCCAAGCTCAAGGACGCTGCACAATGACAAAAGCAAATAAACAATCATGTTATACATAGATGGACAAGACATTTGCCAAGTCCAGAACGTGCGGTTGCAGTTGCATACCACAATAATAATACAGTATCATAATCACAAAAAAACAAACAAAAAAAACATTTATTTATTTAGTCATTTAGCAGACACTTTTATCCAAAGCGACATATATATATATATATATATATACATACACATTTATAAATTCAATATATATATTATTTAATTTCCATTTAGTTTGTTGAAGTACTAAAATAACAAATTAAATAAATCTAAAAACTTAATAAAAGACCTAAACAGACATAATAAATTCAGACATAATTTAACTAAAATTAAAATAAATACAAATAATGCAAATCAAATGACAGTAGTTTATCAGTAATCCTAAAAAATAACACTGCCAAACACACATGCTAAAAAACAACAACTTACTTACACATAGTAAGAAATGGTTATAAAAACTGAAACAGAAGCGAAACAAGTAGTAGGACATTATAACAGGTAATATTGGTTGAACATATAGGCTTTGAGTTTAGACTTAAATACGTGGAGTATGGTTATTGTCCGAAGAGCCAGGGTCAATAGTGTCTGTGTTTTAGATTTATAACATATACTCCATTGGCCATCAGATTTCAGCATGTAAATTAAACTGAAAAGTTAAACAATGTCATCCAGTCTCATAACAGATTCCCCTTTAACCCCCTTAATATTCTGGCTTTTGGGCTTCTGGTAAGACTTGTCCTTGTCCTCAGTGAGATCATCTGTAAAATGACGATAGATCTGTGCCCAGGGGTTATTTTCTAAACTCTGCAATGCTTTCCCTCTCACCCGGTCCATAATAATGCGACAAGAACAAAACCCTTTGATGTGGCATTTTATGGCCCACAGCAACAGTAGATTATCAGATGTTTATGAGTTGTATTAGATCCCTTAGGAACCCATTTATGGAGAAGCAAACGCTGTCTTGTAGATGTTACGTCATCTTAAACTTTTTGATAATTTAATATACTGTATGACATTAGCATGCTTATTAGATTACCCCCCCCCCCCATCAAAAATTTGTCTCTTTAATTAAAATTAATTGTCTTCTATTTTTGTCTCTTTAAGTGGTAAAAAAGAAACACTGGTCAAACCTGTCCCACAGTAATAATACTGTTGTTTTTATTCTATTCGCGGATTCCTGTTCCCAGTAATCTGATTTCTGTCACTCCATTACAAAATAATCAAATTATAAGATAAAACTGAGCCATGAACTAGATATACGACTCATTGGATTAGCGCCACCTTTTACAGGGTACGTCTGAAACATGACAAACGAGAGGTTCATATTACTACAATGTGTCAAACCCACTGTTGTTGTTACGTAACAGAAACTGTAACGTGCTCGCTTGCGTAACACTCGGAATCCGCGCGCCCCCGCTGCTCGCTCGCGCTTGTCCGCGCATGCGCGCTCGCGCTGTGGTCTGTCCGCCATTGAGACACACGAGCTCCGAAACAAGCGCGTGAGAGCCGAGGCAGCGACACAGACGACACTCACGCATCTCCATTCCTCGTGCTCTGAAGTTTGACGGTTACCGTTTTTTAAACAACGTCTTTTTACAGTCCGTTTACACTGGTGGGGTTTTTTTTTGTCCCGAAATACGTTGATGGACCTGCACAGGATATTTTAGTAGCTGTCCAGGGCGAACGTGTGTTCCCGTTGGTTAAGCGAACCGAGCCTGGCTCTGCTCTGAGGGCAAGCGTGCCTACAGCAGCTCAGCGTTTGATGGATCCTAGAATCGCCTGGTTTCAGCCAGAACAGCGCGGACCTGCCAACAACCTGTGGATGCACATCTGGGAAACGACGCAGACTCTGGGAAACCTCTACTTCAACAACAACTGCAACACAGCCAGCGCCAAACTGACGAGTAGTGACGTTAGCAGCAGCGGCGACGGCATCGGTGCGTCGAGCAACGCGGCCGACAGCAGCGGCAAGCCCAAGGATCATCAGGGGATGTCTGTATCCAAACCCGACAGTGAGGTCTCCGAACAACACGACTTTATCCCTCTGGAAGCCAATAACAACAATAAGAGCAGCAGGGGTGTCGGCGGCGGGGGGCAAGTGGCTGGCAGTAGGGTCACAGTAGTGGGAACGGAGTTGCCAAGCAAGAGGAAAAGAGACAACAAGGCGAGCACCTTTGGTTTTAACAGGAGTCTGCTGCTGACAGATGGGGTGGAGGACATTTACACTGGCACACCGTGGAAGAGCAGAAACTACTCGGAAGGCATTGTGGGGTGAGTGCAGAAACGAACTTTATAAGCGTGGGAGTATGATGATAACCTCGGCGCAGGGCTCGGTTTGTTTGCTCGGATTCAGGAGCTGGCCTAACTGTTACGCGTTTGACACTAAACCGAGGGTTGTTCAATCAGTACACGTTCAACATGTCGTGACCTGAATAAGAGGACTATAACATCACGGTGTTGGACCTGCGACCGCCCGTTCACTAAAATAACGTAACTTATAAGGTTTTTCGCAGGTTTACCAGTGGTTTGACATTCGAGCCGTTTCTTCACCATATTTGGCATGTCTAGAAGAGTATCCTTGCAATCCTTCCATTTAAATGACCTGCGCTGGCTTGTCAGCTGCTCCCCTGATGTCTCTAGTGCCCGAATCACAAGTAGCACGAACTCTCTCTTAAAGTCCACCTAAAATCTCACGGTAACGTTCATATTTATAAAAATGTTATTTGACGTTATCTGATGGTCAGATGGCAGGTGGATCAGGAAGGCCAGATGGCAGGTGGTTTCTAATTTTCCTCAGCCTTTGGATCCTCAGCTTGGGTGTTAACATTGGTCAGGTTCAGCATTGTCTCAGCCTGGGTCCCTCTTTTCCAGTGGCTCTGTTTGAAGGTTCGAGGAAGGGCAGCTGTGCTCTGTTAAACAGGACAAAGGAAAGTTTCTACCTCGGATTGGTACTCTTCACTTGGAAGGTGGTACAGCAACCAGGCAGAGTATGTGAGCGGAGCGGAGTGGGGGCGGAGCGCAGAGTGGAGTGGTGATTTTGACTGGAGCGTGGAGCCACTTTAAAAGTGTGGTTTTCATTCGCTCCAAGAGCACTCCACCATCGCTCCATCATGAGTACAATGCATGCCAACGGCCCGTAATATAACTGCACATTTAGCAAGAATTCACATTAAACATATTTAGCTAGCTTGATAGAGAAGGAGTACTCGAATCAGAAAGAATGTGAAGGCTATGTTGACGGCAATGGATATAGCGGGAAGTTATAGGGTAGTTATTAAGGAATTTGTTTGTTCCCTCTAGATACTGAATATTTTCAGGTGAAATCATGATTTAAACAGGTACAACACTTATTCACACGCAATCGCTCTCTCAATAATGCATTCAAACAAATGTAATCTTACAGTGCTACTTCATCTGTATGTATCTGATTTCGAATGAACAGAAATCTGTAAGAAATGCGGTGATCCGTAGGTAAAATAAATGACGAAAACGTAGTTATTTTCATCACAAAAATAACTGCACTGCAAAAAGCAGCAATTATACCTTTTAATGCTGACAAAAATGTTATTAGCTTGTCATGTGGTAGGAAAAAAGTTTGCACACTGGACTGCATATTTAGCAAGAATTCACATATTAAACATAGCCTATTTAGCTAGCTTGATAGAGATCACTTAAATCAGAAAGAATGTGAAGACTAGGATGACGGCAATGGACATGAGCGGGAAGTTCTCAAGGAATTTGTTTGTTCCTTCTAGATAATGAATATTTTCAGGTGAAAGCAATATTTAAACAGGTACTATTCTTATTCACACGCAATCGCTCTCTCAATAATGCATTCAAACAAATGTAATCTTACAGTGCTACTTCATCTGTATGTATCTGATTTCGAATGAACAGAAATCTGTAAGAAATGCGGTGATCCGTAGGTAAAATAAATGACGAAAACGTAGTTATTTTCATCACAAAAATAACTGCACTGCAAAAAGCAGCAATTATACCTTTTAATGCTGACAAAAATGTTATTAGCTTGTCATGTGGTAGGAAAAAAGTTTGCACACTGGTGTTCCAATAAGCCTCTTTGAAACTCTCCTGTTATTTTATTTATTTAATTTTTTCTTTTAATATACGTTATGAATAGAAGAATAGTATGTTATGAAATAATGTGATATTTCAAACATACTGAAATACTTTAGCCGCGGAGCGGTGTTTCTGATATCAGTGAGCGAGGAGTGGAGCGAGAGCGGGAAATGGTTGGTGAACCCGGAGTGGAGTTGGAGCGGAGTGATTATTAAATGGTCGGAGCGCGGAGGGGAAATTGTTGCCGTTCCACTCCGCTCACGTACTCTGCTGCAGAGTGCTGCTCCGTCTTTCATGGAGCCAGAGAGATTCTCCGGCATTCCGCAACAACGCTTAGCTGCCCGCAGATGCGCCTGCCTATAAATCGGCTTAATTTGCAGCACAATCGGCCGATGCCGATTAATTAAAAAATGCCAAAAATCGGCCGATTAATCGGTCGACCTCTAGTGCAGACCTCTACTCTAGTCCTCACCTTACAGACCTCTTACCTGATCCCCCTTCACTGTTTTTCTTGTTTCTCGAATGAATGACTCCCATCAGCTCTGTCTTATAGACGTGGTGCGAAATGTACAGATTAAGCGCAGATTGGCTCATGCTATAACATTGTATTCAGAGAGCATGTCTGAGATGTTTTAAAGATTTAAATCTTGTTCTGGGATCATTTGTTTTGGATTTTAGTCTTTTCCATTTCTGCATGTCTCCAAGATGTGAAATGTGCTTCCTTCCTACAGCACAAAATATTTCCCACCTACATTATAGAAATATTTTGTGGATGTGTTGGAGGCTAATTTCACATAATAATTTTTGCTGTTCTGTTTGGAGGTGTGAGAAAAGGGACATATGGTTTTATGGGTGTGTCTGAGTGTGTGTGGAGAGATTTTTCTGATTCACTGATGTTGAACAAGTTCCTTCCTTGCTCTACCCAAAACAAATGCTCCCCCCTTCCATCTGACACACGATCCCCGTCTCTGAGATGTCATGGTGCTTCCAGCCAATCAGAGTGAGTTGAGATTCTTTCGTCTGCCTGACAGCTGTGCTGCAATGAGAGGAGAGGGAAAATCCTCTCTCCATGCTTAGTTGTGCTGCTGCTGAATTTTTTTTCTTCTCAAAGTTTTTTTTAAGTGTAGGATGAATTCAGTGCACTGGTGTCTTTTTGAAGAGCACTGAATCGATGCAAAGAATATATGTTTGGACACTAAAAATAAACATTTATATACTTTTTTTTTTTTTTTTTACCACAAATGCTCGGTAAATGGTGGGTAAATTTTCAGGAAATTTTAATTCAGGAGTGAACTAATCCTTTAAGCAAGGTTCTTTCTGGCTGCTACTTTTCCCATTATAGCTCTGTTTTCTGCAATTGAGTTCAGCCTATATTCATCGATCACTGTCATTAGGTTAACCAGTTGCCAGGGGACATAAGGAAGGCATTTCAGGTTGGTGGAAGGGGGCTAAATGTAATAGAAAAGCAGCCTTCAGTGGCAGCACATGGGGCTTCCCTGAGGCTCCCAGACGCTACAAGAGAAATGGGTTTTTCAACTTAAATTTTGCTGATTCTGTCACTAGCAGTAGGACTTTGAGATGTGAGTGTGCTCTGAGCCATGTATTAGAGCTATGACTTTCCCAGACACCCTCAAACACATTACAGCACTCGGCAAGAACTCATCCTCGTCACAAGGGCACTTTCCCAGGGTGGACGTGATGAACATGAGAATGTCAGAATGTGTTACAGAGAATGTACATGTACACAGAATGTTTGGAATCTGCATTGACATTTGAAACAAAGAAATGGTTGGCTGTTGGTAAACTAGTGTTGGGCGATATGCTCAATTTTCATATCGTCCTATCGTCAGCCTGTGAGATCGCCAATACACGATATCGTGTTAATTTATGTAATTATTTACTTAGTTTCATTGCGGGAAAGTGAACCAACTCCAGCGTAAGGCTAAAAGCAGCCTAATGTTTTTAATATGACGGAATTTGTATTTAACATGATAACAAATTAATAGAAACATCGTAAGTTACTAATTATAATGCTTACATTTCCTCAGTTATTCAAAAAGCAGCTACACAAAAAGAGCAAAGAACATTACCAAAGAACATCATCACAAGCTTAGTCTAGCGCGTTATGCACTTTAAAAACACTCCCGTTAAAATCAGTGAACACTGATCACATAACACTGTATGATGAATAAATCTCTTATACTTACATCGCACGTAGATCTTCACTTTGTTGTTTATGATGAGAGAATTCACTAGTCAGAATTCAGTCAGCGCTCGCTGAACAACGGAACTCCGCTGTTTCAGCGATGACTCATCTGAACGCCTCTGATTGGCCATTGCATTCATAAGCTCAGCATAATTATGTGTGATTGGTTAAAACCATAGACTGTATAAAAACATGGACGTAGTGTCCGTGACGTAACCCGTAGACTTCCGACGAGCGTTTTGAAGCCTAAAGTAGGCGGAGCCAGCCGTCGCCATCTTGGCAGCGCGTCAC